ACAAAAAAAAACAAAAAAAAACTGTTGTATGAACAAGTTTCTATAAATTACAACTGTCAATAAATAAATGCTGAATGTTCTTTTGTTTTTGTTTTTTTTTTTTTTGTATGGAAACGGCTAAATTCAAAAGTACCATTCATGAAAAAGAGCGATACTTAACTTAAATGAGCGAATATCCTGAATTTGGATCATGGATAGACAGCTTCGTAGTTACACTAGCATATAGCGAGCATTATAACAGTTTTGGCTTCCCTTTCTCTTTTTTACAAATATATTCATGGCAAATGTCCTGATAAGCTTTTTTTTCCTTTGCACCTCAATTGGCAAATTGGTCTCAACGTTGTTCTGTTGAAATAACTAGATGGAGCCTTATGTTCTACTCTAATAGTTTCTTTTCTTGCAAATCTAGACTGTGGAGAAATCCCGTCCAATTTCTTGCTCTCTGTGCTATTTGCAATCTTCGAAAAATTAAATGCAACGTCAATTGCCATCTTCTGTGTTCCCGAATTAAGTTCCTTTCTTTTCCTTTCTCCTCACTAAAGTTTTATCATTCTCTTTCACTCCCTGTAACCCCCTGTGTTCCAGCGGCATGGTCGTGTTTATTGTGGGTATTTTTGTCCATATAAGAAGAATTATTCTTGATGGTTTACAGACGAAAACGAACTTGGTAATTGTTGTGGATTCCGAGATGAAATCCGGTCTCCAATGAATGACAAACACAGGAATGAAATATAAAAAATAAATGTATTTACACAATAATACAATTGGTAATACGGTTAGTAAATCCAGAAACGCGGTTAGTAGCAATAATAATATATATACACAGTCTGGTACATCCAGTCTCGAAGTAGGACTTCCTTAGAGTCTACGTGCTTGTAACTGTGACTTCTACAAGCGGTTACCTCACACTATTACTCTACCTCCAACTCAATCACAATCACTGCTCCCTATCTCTGACTGACTCTGGGTATTTAACGGCAGCAGTCCAAGTACACACTGGTCGAGTCCACTTGTATGAAAAAGGAGTGGACCCCATAACAGTAATTTTGCCTGAATTTTAAAACAGTGTCGTTCATTAATTGCCGAAATATCATTTCTTTCGCCAATGTCTGCGTTTTTATTTAATGTTTTCCGTCGATAATGCCTTTACTTCCTGTTTTCGAAATTATCTATGGCCTGATTGCTTTGTTTAAGCCTAGGTGGTGTCGTTGGTGACTACATCGAGGCTTTCTGAGGCCAAGTTCGGAAGCACGATATATTCCAAAGTTTAGATATAGGATGACCTGTGGAACTATGGGTCAGTGTCCTATGTCTAGGTGACGTTTGATTGGTGTGACAAGATTCAAAACATTCGGTAACCTGTTGAAATATGACATATCAGATTTCTCGGTCCACATCAAGAAGTTCACCTTGATTGGACACCACATCGAATAACTAAAGGTCCCTTTCGATAGATTTTTTAACCATTTTTTGTGCTCTTCGACTCTCGGCTACCATTCCTCAAAGCGTCATACAGGTTTGCCGTGCAATATGACTTGTCATCCTGATTGCTATGACGAAATCATGGACGCAATGCTGCTATTCGCTTTATGGTTACAGGAGTGTTGCAGGCATTTCATCCGAAGAGTTCTCTGGAAGCAGTGGATGAAAAGGTTTCAGTTTCACGTCTTAAGCTCTATAGTGGCTCCCTGACTGACTTTCATAATGAACTGAGTGGTTAATTACTCTGTAGGCAGTGATTTTCGTTATTGTAATCAGATCTCATGTAAGAAATACTCGCACTTTAAAATTAGCCGAGACACGTCTTATTCTATTTGGCACCTTATTTTCATAACGGGCAGGGAATGTTGCCAAGGCACTTGAAAAGGATTAAAGTGTTGGTTTTCTGTCTTGAATCTCAGGATTACTTCTTCTACGTTTAGAAGATCAGAAAGACAGCTCAAAACATTCGGTTTGACCGTATTGGTGGGCATCGAAATGGCTGTATAGGAGGAATTATTAATGTTAATATTCCGCAGAAGAGACAGGCGAGATGGCACCGGATACACCATATCGCTCGCATACTGTAGGTTAAAGATGCCTGATGTGCGTGTCATTGTTTCCGCTTTGAATCTCCGGAGATTAAATACGCTGCCATCTGGTAACTGCGGCCACCATTGCTTCATTCATAACCATCAAAGAAGCTGTCAAGTGTTAAAGACATTGCTCTTCAACAATTACTGGTAACATAAACAAGTCAGACACAAGGCCAGCAGTACAGCTAACAGCACAGACACGAGCTAATAATATTTGTCTTTATTTCTAAGAAAAGATATTTTAATTATTTACACTATTTACATTGTTCGGATTGTTGTCCTCGTCTTTGTTGCCATATTTACGACGTTTCGGTCGTCGTACACTCTAGCCTCTAGCGATTCGAATTTCGAAGTGACCCCTTTATTTCGTCCATCGATTGTTCTACTTTCACGAGTCATGCCTTTTCCGAATATCTTAGTATCAGTTATCTCCCTTTAATTCAACTCTCCAGGTTTTTGTTCACCTCTGCTGTAGCCAGGTATCGTACTCACAACTCTTGGGGTAAAGTCACTGGATTGTAAGCAACGCTTTTATCCACTAGGCCATGTGTCCTTGATAAAAATCTTGTCGATGTCAAGAACTTGATTATGGACGACTACATATTTCCATAACTTGTCAAGGCATTTCCTTGTTTACGATATCAGATACTTTTGCCAGGTCAACAAGAGAGAAGAAAATATCATGACCTTGTTCTTCGTATTTCTCTAATAGCCGCTTAGTCGCAAAAGCCACATCCGTTCGGAAACGACTTTATCATGCTTTTAAGCAATATCGTCAGATAGAGACGTTCATATGGATTTCATGCCTGGCGACAAACCCGTTTAGAAATATCTAAACTGTCATCTCTATACTTCCGCTTTCTCAAGTCAATGATTAAAATGATTCCGAGCGAATGAAACCTATAAATCTTAGAAGGACCGTCCTTCTTTGAAGCTCGTGAATTGGCGCTACATGATCACAAAAAAAGAATATTCCTTGAGGACATTCAACAGCAACAACAGCTTAAATAGATAGCACATGTAATTATAAGGAAAAATAATGACATAATGAAAATGTTGAGGTTTGATATGACTTCAAACAAAAGAAGGAAGCCCCCATCAATAGGTCAGGTCGATTTTGGAAGCATGGTATTGAACGTTTGAAGATAGGGTTTTACATGCTATATAATGACTTTAAAGAATAAGTTTATGTTCAAAACAGGAGAATTGGAATTTCATTCTGGTCATCAGTGAAAGCCTTATAGCACGGCCTTATAAAATTTATAATTGACTGAAGCTGTACAAATTGTATATGGACAAGATGCATGGCACAAGCATTTTATTACTAAATTGTTGTTCCATCAAATAAGTCCTTCATTTATTTCAAAGGGAAGTTATACCGAATAATTTAGCTATATTATGATACAATATGCTATACAGTGCAGTAGTTTTAATCAGTGTGATTTTCAATAAACACTGCAAATTGAAAACATTTTGTCTTGCAATTTGAGCCCAGCAGTATTACGGTGTTATATACACTTTTATTTATTTATTTATTTATTTTTATTAATTATGATCTAACACTCTAACAAGACTTATTCATTGAGTAACCTATATTTTACATTTTTTTTACACATTTTTACTTATCGAATACAGTAAAAAAAATTGCATATTCTGCTTGTGGTTATCCATAATCAGAATTCTGGTTTGAAAATATTTTCCATTCAATGTATCTTACTTTATTTGAATTTATTCTGGAAATAGCAAAATTTAAAGTCAGTTTGCAAGCAAAATTAGGTATTTCTGTATATTTTTAGGACGATCTTTAAAATAAATACTCAGAAATTGGTGGAAGCTATCAATTCTAATATTTGGTGCTACTATATATCACATGAAACCCCAGCTTTCACACTGAGTTTTCAGGCTACGTCTGAGATGAATGTGCCGCAGTAGGTTGCACAGTCTGTTTGTTCCTTGCGAGTCATTTTCATTATATCGTTCAAGGTATAGAAAACAAAATGGCTACTATCATTTCAAGAAGACTGTATGTTACAGCCCCCTCTCCAAATTCTCTGCTTCTCCCAAATGAGAGTTGCGCTGTGTGCCTGAATAAGGAAAGAGGGCTTGGAAAATCTGATCCTCACAGGACAGATTACGGGCAAGCGGGGGAGAGAAAAACAACGCATAACCCCGGCCTATGGAAGAAGAAGAAGAAGAAGAAGAAGAAGAAGAAGAAGAAGAAGAAGAAGAAGAAGTTCAGCTTACTGTGAACTGTCAAAAAACAGAATTAGGATGCTGATGAAAGGCAACACAGTAAAGGAACACATCAGGTGTGATGAACAGATACTACAGTTTGATCTGAGGTAGAACATACGGAAATTATGCAGAAGTTCAGATACATTTGTAAATATTTTTGACAGATATTATGTTAGTATGTGAATGCGTCGAATGAAAAACAACAAAATCAGATGGAAGAAATCTGGGAATTTTTTTTTTTTTAAATGTCGCAAATCGTAACTTCACGAGTATCGTAACTTATCAGGGTCTTTGAAGCACCATACGTACTGCAGATATAACAGCGGTGGTGTGTATAAGGCAAGACAACCAGACAGGTCATTTTTAATTCAAAGTTTTCCTTCTCATAGACTGCCATCTCAAGCCAACAGAAGTCAAATAAGGCCTGACAGGAGAGATAGATTGGTTGTTTTTATTTAGCGGCATATTTATTCATCTATGGGTTATTTAATGCTGAAATCTAAACATGTTTTGGAGTTAATAATGGTTTTAGTGATACACGTTTTACTAATTAACCCATAGCTGGAGGAAAAGAGGTGGATTCATGCCTTTCTCAATTGTATTTACTCATAAGTGAATATAACGAACCCAACGGGAATTGAAACTCGGATTTCCAATTAACAATTCGCAGCCACCACCCGCACATCCAAGCTTACAGCACCTGGTATCCCCAAACGGTCATCTATCTAGGTACTGACCAGCCACGACGTTGCTTAACTTCGGTGATCGTATGGGGACTGGTGTTACAATGTGTTGTGGTCGTAAGTCAGGGAAGCAAGAGATGGATTCATAATTTGCCCTGAAGTATTTGAGCGAAAGTGGACACAACGATGTCAACCGGAATTCGAACTCAGATTCGCAAAGTTCGTTTTCCGTTAATCGTTACACTGACCACACAGCCAGAATATCGCAAATCTCCCATCACAACATGTAAAAACAACTTAATGACGATTGAATATTTTCTATTTGTGTTAGGTTTCTATCAACTCAAGGAGATTATTGACGTTAACGAGATTTTAATTTCACGAAAACAAATCTCTTCAGACGATATTTTCTACTTTACGTTTTGGACAATTTAAACAGAAACAGAAAGCTTAAAAGCAGACATTCGTTTTTTACGGTACAAGACATTAAAAAAAAATGGAACAGGAGTTAGATTGATTTTTTTTTTTAAGCATTACACCCCGAGCAAGGCGTGAAGCCACTAGGATGCAGGAGGTTGCAGAAGATTTGGAGCGAGAGCAGATAGGAGAGATAGAAGAAAGGATGAGGAGAGGGATAGTGGAAAAGATCAAGGTAACTGGAGATGTCGATTGACATTACATTTGAATAGTTGGAGATTATAGCTCTCAGGGAAACAGTAATTGGGAAGGGTGTTCCACAGGCGAGAAGTGCGAGGTATGAAGCTATTGGAGTAGAAGAGACGGCTACATTTAAAAGTTTCTACAGTGTAAGGGTGAGAGCGGGATGCCAACCTCGTAGGGCGCTTGAATTCATGGAGTCTGGGAACCAGTGAAAGCATCTCATCGGAGCAATTACCATGAAAGTATTTGTAGAAAAGACAGAGAGAGGCGACGGCGCGTCTGTGAGAGAGATGAAGAATAATTGCAGCTGGTCACGTACATATCGCATAAAATACTCGTCATTCTTTTCGCAAGGAAGGTCTCCAAGTCCATTTCCTGCAGACGAAACGTCGCGAGCTTTTCAATACTCTTCCGCAATTTCCATGACAAATACTCTTGTAGCGTTCTAGCTCAGACCAAACACCAGGCTCCTTCACAGGGTGCAGCTTCTTCCAGTCGAACGCTTGTGGCTTGATACAAAGAAAATAATTCTTTAACCGTATTTATTACTCCACAAAAGACCATGAAACGAAATTTTAGCCGTCGACAAATTTTATTCAGCTGCATCCTTCTCTTAAGAACCACCTATAGGCGAGCGAAGAAAAGTGAGACCAAATGAAGGGGCAAACGGTCTAACCTTCCTTTCACGTTGCGAGTGACTGGTCTTCTCTCCTTTAAGCTGCTAGGGACCACAGTCTTATAGAGATCAAAACTTTTGTCCTGTCAGCTTTTATCTAAAAAAGTCATTCACCAAGAAGACAGGGTCAGTTGACCTGATTCTTAGTCCGCTCCACTCAACTGAACTTATTTTTCAGGGTCGGTTTATCTGGTTCTTGGGAGGTCCGCCCCATTCAGCTTACCCTTTTTGTTTAGACGATAATTGTTAAAGTGATTTCTGTAATGTTATGCAGATATGTCTTCAACAAGTTGGCAACTGATATCACGAAATTCTGACGAGTTACATATCTTAGTTCCACCAATACTGACATTTGAGACTGGGACCCGCCATGTCACGTACACAAGGATGAATCATCCTCATTGCCCTCGTATTCCATTAATTAGAAGGAAGTTCCACTTGGACATCTTTTTCCCAACAACAGCTGATTTGTGGTACAGACTCCTGACAGGGCGGGTTCCTGATTAATACAATCTTAACCTCTTCAAGTCTAGGGTTAATCGTTTTCTTTCCTACATAACTTCATAAACAATACTTCTTGCTTTCACTTAGGCTTATGCAATATCAGTAACCCTCTAGCTTGGGTGGCACTTGATCTTTGTACTGGCGAATATTTATGTAAAAAACTATAGCATGTAGGAGAGATAATGGTTGACCCAAGACTTTACAAGGTTAAGGTTGTAATGATCGAAAGATAATCCTTTCGGAAGTTTGTTCTTAGGAAGAACTTCCTTGCCTTTCTTACTTGACGAATACGACGTTATACAGTCCGCTGAATGATTGATTGTGTGGCTCCGTCGTTTAATCTGGAAGTGATTTAATGCAGTCTTCCTATTTGGTGGGTCGTTACCATCTTTGTCAACCACTGTAGGCCTCGTTTTACCGTTAACCTCTGGGCTCTCGTACTTTTCACGTGCTATTGATATCTACCTGAAATTCTTATATTCCTAATACTAAGATACTCGAGAAAAAACCTGCACACCACCTTTTTGCTAACAAATTGCGATTGTCACCGTAATAGTCATAGTATTTTTAGTAGTTTATTAGTTGTAGCATTAGCAGTATTTTCTTTTAGCCTTAATAATACTGGCAGTAATTTATAGCATTAGCAGTGCTTTATCATTAATGATTACTATTAGTAATAGTTTAGTGATGTCAACGAACACTGGTTTCCACTTTTGTAATGTCAACGAATACTCGTTGCCACTTTTGTAATGCTTGTTGTAGTAGAGACTTTGTAATCGCAGATACAACTATAGTAACGCTGTTGAACAATACTAGTGTCAGAGGTCTTCGAATATCACTCACACTAATAGTACTTGCTCGATACTACTAGCTCGAAAAGTAACCATCGAATTGTGATCCGAATAGTAATCCGTATAGTGAGATACGGCTGGATGCGGCACAAGGCCAATTTTATTGTGGGGTATCCTACTCCGTAAGCTAAACCAAAAATTCTCCGTAGGCCCCGTAAAAAACGGGGGTCGGGTAGCTGTTTTTCCAAACGAGAATCTGTCCTTCGACATAGCCTCGTCTGGGGATCCTCTCTGCCCGTAGGCAGAGAGTTTGACCAGCACACTTCCGTAATCCGGATATTGATGATATTCACTAACTGACCCACGCGATCGGATGTGGCACAAGGCCGAGTTAATTGTAGGGTATCTGAGCACGTAGGCGTGGCCAAAAATTACTCGTAGACCCCGTAAAAACGGGGTCGGGTAGGTGTCTCTCGAGATGAGACTCTGCCTTTTGACATAGCCTCGTCGGGGTATACTCTATGCTCGGAGGCAGAGAGTTTGACCAGCACAGTCGGAAGTAATCCGTATAATGATCACTTAGACGCCACGCTAATTCCCATATATATATTTCCTTTACCAACGTGATCTACTTATTCAAAATGGGATCGCCTGTGTTCTCTGGTGATCTGTGTTCAAACTACAGTATTTATAGCGATATATATATATAACAAACAATAAATGTTTTAATTTATCAGTAGTATTTTATTAGTTGTTACATTATTAGTAATGTAAAGAAGACTAAGGATCAATTGTAAGAAGTCCGAATATATGGTTATGAGCAAAAGAACAACCTTAGATGCTAACGGCGAACTGGAAACAGCAAAATCGAGCCAGTAGAATAGCGAAAAATGCTTTCCAAACGCTAAATAAAGTATTCTTTTTCTTCATGTGCTGTATCCCTTCAAGGCGTACGTAAGCATGGCTCTTCACAACTTCCTGGTTTTGTAGCTCTTTAAAAAATTACTAAGAGCTACAAAGGACAGGAAATTGGTTACAGCCATGATCACCCAGTTGCTAAAGGGTAATGGAATGTAGAAGAAGAAGAAGAAAAAGAAGAAGAAGAAGGGTAATGGAATGTAGAAGAAGAAGAAGAAGAAGAAGAAGAAAAAAAGAAGAAGAAGAAGAAGAAGGGTAATGGAATGTAGAAGAAGAAGAAGAAGAAGGGTAATGGAATGTAGAAGAAGAAGAAGAAGAAAAAGAAGAAGAAGAAGGGTAATGGAATGTAGAAAAAGAAGAAGAAGAAGAAGAAGAAGAAGAAGAAGAAGAAGAAGAAGAAGAAGGGTAATGGAATGAAGAAGAAGAAGAAGAAAAAGGTTAATGGAATGTAGAAGAAGAAGAAGAAGAAGAAGAAGAAGAAGGTTAATGGAATGTAGACGAAGAAGAAGAAGAAGAAGAAGAAGAAGAAGAAGAAGAAGATTCTATAAATCGTTGCCAGGGATTAGAAGCGATAGCGAAAAGAAAAAAATTACTAAGAGCTAAAAAAGACATTATTATAAGTCATATTAGGCTACTGTTAATAGTAGTATTGGTACTTTATAAGTAATATGTAATTGTGAGAAAAGAATAGTAATCGATATTTGAAAAATGTGGACGGGGCGGCACTATTAAAATTTTATGATAAACAAAAGAGGAAAGGGGAAGAATTGGATGGCAATATGACAAATGAAGGTAGGAAAGAAAAAGAGGAAGAACAGGAAAAAGAAAAAAAAGAATGAAAAAAAGCAAACAAAAAATGTAAGAAGAAAAAAGGAAAAAAAAGAGAGATAAAAAAAAGAAGCAAAACAAATGTACAATGGCTGCATTCTCTAAAGGTAAATGAGATGATTTAGCGGAATGTGAGATTTAATACTGCTCGTGTCTGGTGCACCAATTCTATGCCACGTCGACAGCAAAAAAAAAAAAAAAAAAGATGCCAAAGCGACTATTTAAGAAGAAGGTGTGGGTGCAGTTCACCCTCAAATTCTGGGGCTTGAGGATGACGAAATGAAATAAAAATGTATGCAGGCGAAATACAAATAAATAAATGTTGAAAGGAAGGAACTGGAATTAGAAATAGAAAAAAAAGTATTTAGGACTACCATGATTTGTCTTTTGTGCACACAAATACATATATATATATATATATATATATATATATATATATATATATATATAAGTGAACATGTTTCAACACTGCAGGGGCGACAGTCTGTTTCATGCTATATGCAATGGTCAGGCGATTCATATAGCATGAAACAGATGTCGCCTCTAAGTATTGACTTTATGTTCACTTTTATATTTACACACGCTCTATCTCTGATATTGAGCACTTTATCCCATAAATATAGCACACCTTAAGACTATATTTCTTCATATATATGTATATATATATATATATATATATATATATATATATATATATATAAATTTTCATGGTTATTCTAACTGGTGAATCTGAATCCCAACAT